GGGAGGGGGATTTCTTGTCATGACTTTACCATGTCAGAACATCATTGTGTTAACTTGTGATGGGGATGGAGTCAGTGACTGTCATGTCAAGTGGTCTTGACCCTCCATGTGTCCAGTGCTCTCTCCTGACCTGGTCTGCTGCCTTTACTTCTGTCAAGCTTGTGTACGTGTGTGCGTGTGTTTTGTGCTCATGTTCTTCCCCGCATTGTGTGAACTGTCAGACGTCATGACAGCCCCTAAACTGAAGATTTATTTTCCCTATTCATTTAGTTCAGCCGTCATTGTGTTTGATTGGCTTTGTTTCAGTTCGATTGTTCAGAAAGAGAAAGGGTCAAAACAACACCCTCTTGCATGTTTTTCTGCCGTTGTTCGCGTGCCGCTGAGCATGTGAATGTTGCTTGTCTGTGCTACCTGGAATTGGCACCAGACACTGACACTGAGTCTGTCAAAGCCCAAGCATGTGCATGAAAACAGTGTAGATCATAAATTACATTATGTTTGGCAGAGAAAAGGGTTCTGAAGAGACCCAACGCTAGGCTCACCCAGTGACCAATAAAATGGCAAATTCTTTGCACAAACGAATCTGTGAGGATGAAAACGTATAAAAAGATACGTGAGAACTTTGTGAAGCGTGGAAAAAGCGCACAATCATACCTGTTAACGATAAGACCCTTGGAGGAAGTTAACAGTTAAGATTTTTATTTGTGTAGTCATAAAGTTGAGTCAGGGAATAGAGTCTTGCTGCTCCTCTGTAAATGGTTTGTCTTTTAATGATGCATGTTATGTTCAACCCATTCGCCTATTCTACTCTGTTTTTATGCTTTGTGAATACGTTTCTTTGTATTTGTGTGCCTGTTGTTGTATTTTTTGTTAACGTATTTTTTATTGCGTATGTTCTTCGTTGACTGAAATTGAGACTATCTTTCAAATTCTATTTATTGTAGTGTTATTGAATGCATTGTTACTTCGTTTGGAATGCTGCTTGCTTTTTGCTTTCCAATGGATTTCAGGAAAAGATATTTTAATGTATTTATGTCTTGTGAATATTGCCAATCGTGTATTTGTGCAGAGGCTTTCAGCCTTTTTAAAAATGAAATACACGTTTTGGGAGTGAAATTGCCAATGGTCCAAAAACAATAAAATAGCTTTATCAACGACATGGACCCGCCGTTGTGGTAAATTTCCAGTTGAACTGCTACTTGGCTCGTGTTTCACCCTCAGAAATGGAACACAGTCCGTTTGCAGTCCTGGGAAAAACATATTTTTGTTTCAGCCGTGAGGACATTGCACGTTTCATAAAAATGTTTTCTTTTGTTTCTTCCTTATCACCCGGCTTTCCAGTGGATTTAAAAGGACTGTGTAAGTATCAACAAAGCCAAACATGCACCGAACAACGATGTAGTCTATTCTGTATGCTTTCTGTTCATCAAGCAGTTCTCTTTCTCTATCTGTCTGACGCGGCGCTTAATGGTGTAGCAAGTTGTGTGTTGACCGTTGTGCGATAGTGGACGCGCGGTCGTCCATCCAGCTTCATGGCGTATCTCTATGGTTGTCGGGCTTGTTCTGGGCACTGCAGCAGCTGCTGGTTCCGGCAACTATTCAACTATGTTGCTTAATACAAGTAAAAGTACCAGTTTTGTGTAGTAAAGTGTGTACTGACATGCGCGGACAAACGCATTTTTCTTATTCACAGCAGTTTCGAGAAACCAACTATTTTTGTTTTTCATATAATATCTATTTGAGTCTAGGGAATGAAATTCCTTTCAGGGTGCAAAATCAACCCTTGATGTACCATGCAAATTAGTTTAATTATAAGAAAACCGTAAATCGGTGATTTCTCGAAACTGTTGTGAATAAGAAAAAGGCTTTTGCCAGCCTAAGGCAGTACAGGTCTCTGGTGGTGTGGTATATCAACATCAAGTACTCGAAATAGCTATGTTCTGGTTGTTTTCTTTTAATCGCTTCGTTTACATCCACTACAAGGAATGGTCCATGCACGCTGTGGTAGTCTCCTATTTTGTTTTTTTGGGGTGTTTTTTTTTTTGGGGGGGGGGGGGGGGAATTAATTATGAAGTTGTCATTTATTCTTACATACTAATCGCTTAATCTCTCTCTCTCTCTCTCTCTCTCTCTCTCTCTCTCTCTCTCTCTCTCTCTCTCTCTCTCTCTCTCTCTGTGTGTGTGTGTGTGTGTGTAAAAATATAAATTGTTTATGTATGCTTGTGTTTGAGGGAAGGGGTGGTGGTGAGATGACCAGAAAGAACAGACCGTGTTAAGAGTTAGAGAGAGATAGGAGAAACTTGATCTGGGCCCCGATGTGGAATGAGGGATGCTGTCGTCCCTTTTGCCAGGGCTGTGTGCCGCTCGTATCTCGTCTGTTGGCCAGATAGCAGGCGATAGAGGCCTTGGGCTGTGGACTCACAATCTGCACCACGGAACACTCACGTAAACAACATGTCAACTAGGCTGTGGACAGCGCTGCTCTCCGCTCACTCGCGAGGTTTCTGCCTTATCAGTTGTGTATGGGAAAAGAGTCCGCACTTATTTTTTCCCCCCCATTTTTATTTAACTCTTTTAAAGAAATATTGAAGTGGAGGGTGGTGGTGGTTTGTTTTTATTTTTCTTATTATTATTGTGTGCGTGCGTGCGTACACGCGCGCGCGCGCGTGCGTGTGTGTGTTGTTGTTTTTGTTTGTGTGTGTGTATGTTTTTTTCGGGGGGAGGGGGGGGGGTCGCGCGTTTTATTTTTACCAAATTACTAGGAGAGGTTATTTCCATATTAACGTTCTTTTTCATTTTTTAAAATGTTATGTCTGTTTAGTTTTTTCCTCTTCTTTCCCTTTTAAATGTGACCTTTTTTATTTCTTCATGTCAAACTAGAGTTGTTTGAAGACCTTCTGCAATATATTTCTTGTTGCTTTATGTATGGACATAATGTGTTGGTTGAGAGTATCTTTGGTAGAAAAAAAGAGAACAGTTCGCTGGCCCAGGACAGAAGTGTTAGTTGCATTTGCAGCTGCCGTAAAGTTATGACTTATGGCCGTGATAAAAAAGAATATCTCTCTCTCTCTCTCTCTCTCTCTCTCTCTCTCTCTCTCTCTCTTTCTCTCTCTCTCTCTCTCTCTCTCTCTCTCTCTCTCTCTCTCTCTCTCTCTCTCTCTCTCTCTCTCTCTCCCTCTCCACTCCTCTCCTCTCTTCTCTCTCCCTACCTCTCCCCCTCTCTCTCTCTTTCTCTCTCTCTCTCTCTCTCTCTCTCTCTCTCTCTCTCTCTCTCTCTCTCTCCTTCTCCCTGTAGCTCTATCCGTTTATCACCCTATGATTTCCGCGTCTTAAATCAGGCGAACTCACGGTATTAGCGTGCCTTAAAATGTTTTAAATTAGAAAGCTCCAATAAAACTCGTCTCGGCCTCACTAAATCCCTGTCTTTCTGCCTTCGCCATTCCAGCTGGTTTTTGTCCGCCTGTATCGCCGGGATTACTTATCTTACGTACACATCTGTATACCTCCCCTCCTTCCTTTCCACCGCCCTCTTTTTTCCTCCTTTCGTCTTCCGTCTGTCTCTTTCCTATCTATCTATCTATCTATCTTTCTATCTATCTATCTATCTATCTATCTATCTATCTATCTATCTATCTATCTATCTATCTATCTATCTATCTATCTATCTATCTATCTATCTATCTATCTATCTATCTATCTATCTATGTCTTGTCTTGTCTGTCTGTCTCTCTTTCTGTCTGTCTGTCTCTGTTTCTGTCTGTCTGTCTCTGTTTCTGTCTGTCTGTCTCTGTTTCTGTCTCTCTGTCTCTCTCTCTCTCTCTCTCTCTCTCTCTCTCTCTCTCTCTCTCTCTCTCTCTCTCCACCACGTATATCTGTCCCCCATTATCTCTCTCTTTCTCCTTCTCTTTCTCTCTATCCCCCTTCCCCTAATATCTCTCCCTCCCTCAGCAGTCCATCCTACCACATCTACCTCCGCCCTCCCCTGAGTGGGTGGTTGGCAGGTGCTCTGGTGTGGTTTGCCCTTTCTTCCTTTCTTTACTATATGACATTTATCCTTCTAATCTTTCCTCCTTTTTATTGTTTGTTACTCTCTTGTAACTTGTAACACCTCTAATCTTCAGCCCTTATATGACTTTATTGTTGCGGGTGGTTGGAGGGCGCCTTTTGTAAGCCCTACTTCTTTACTGTCTCTCTGTTGTTTCTGTGTGCCTGTCTTACCTTTTCCCAGCCCTAAATGGCTATCATTGTGTCGATGTCCTTCTCCGAACTCAAACAAACAAAATGACCTTATAGTGTTTCATGTGCCGTAAAACTCTTACCAAAACCTAAAAAAACAACAAAAGGACTCCACAGACTTTTAATTCGCCTACTAATTCCTCTTTTTGGTACTCTACCACTTGTCTTGTTTCTTCACTATACGCCTCCATCCCTTTCTCCTTTTCGTTTGTCATTCCGTCACTGTCTCCCATCTCTTCCTCGTGACTCTCTTATAAATTCTTTCTTTCACCCCCTTAAGTG